GTCTGGCCACACTGAACAGCTGAGCAGCAATGTTAGCACCTACATCTCAAACCAGATGTAGGACGAGTTTTACTCTCAGCATCTCTTTCATGTCAGACATGCAGAAAGACTCTTCCACCTTTGTATGAGAGCAGTTTGGCACCTCCCTGGGCTCAGCATAAGCTTAGCACAGCTGGTCATGTTTGAAGCCAAAGGAGGGGAGGCACCCCAGGAAGACAAGATGGATGAAGGGAACAAAGGAGAGCTTTTTACTAGCAAATACAGAAAATGTTAATTAAAGTTTAATTTACAGAAGTATTTTGCGTTTCAACAGGGCCAAGGATCTATCTTGTCGCTGTGCAAAGGGAGACAAGCTTTGCAGGAGCCAGTTATAGCCCTGCCTTCCCACACCCAGCCAGGAGCAGCAGGCTCTGCCATTACCACCCCTGTGCTCACCCAGGTCTGGATTTGATTTGTCCAACAACGGTGGGAAGAAGCTTTTTGCTTGTGTCACCCATTCCTGAGCCACCTCCCAGCCAAGGCAATCAATTCCTCGTGAGCAAGCTCAGCTGAGTCACTGCGTGCCCTGGGGTTGCACAACCGGAGTTCCCTGTTTGTGGAGCCTTGCAGGAGCCAGAGTTCCCTGTTCGCAGGGATTTGCAGGGAGATGCAAGGGAGGAGGATGCTGCAGGATCTAAAAGGGACCTTCAGCATCAGCAAGGGAGCATCAGCAGCATAAGGCAAAAGGGGTGCACAAGGGTTGCAGGACACCGAGAGTCCCTCAGTTTCTACCTGCCTTGCTGCATGGATGGAAATCCAAGCTCCGTGATGGATTTAGCTCTTCTGCTGCCTCCTGCTCAGCTGTTTTTGGGTTAGATACAGACCAGACCTGCAAAGGCGGAAAGAGCAGAGCTGCAAAGCCAGGCTCTGCCCTCAGAACAACCCTTCCCACCTCTTCTCTGGGGCTGGGGGACTATCCCTGTGGCATTGTGGTGCTTTACTCATCTCCCACTCACAACAGCAGCATGCAGCCCCCTTGCCTGGCCAGCAGACAGGAGACAATCTCTTGCTCAATGCAGGCAGCAAAGCTCATTTCCTGTCTGGGCAGAAGAATCTGGTCAACAACCCCCACTGACACTGGACAAGCCCAAATTCCCTAGAATTAGCCAACAGCCAGTCCAAGGCATGTTTCAGTGGGTTCTTAAAGCCATGTGCTCCAGCAGTAGCTCTGGCAGATGTTGAAAGCTAGAGAGCAAGGATTTAAACTCAGTATATCCCAGCTCCCATGGAGAAACAAGAATTACATCGGTGTCCAAACCTTCCAGAAAGGATTTATTAGGCAGGGTTATGGCTTTATAAAATCCTACTTACCAGGTGCCCAGGGCAGGTTATTTATCTTGGCAGCTCATCCAGCTGTAATAACCATTATTATCCCCACCAAAACCTAACTAATGAGTCGTGGCAGACAGGCTGCTGCTGTGAGTGCAAGTCAGGGGCAAAATCTACAGAAGCAATAAGACACTGTTAGGGATGCAGGTACAACTCACGTTCAAATCAATGAGGTACCTCCAATGCACCTACTAAAATCACTGAGACACTGGTTTTCTGTTTTTCAGATTAAAAACACATATATGTTGTCTAAAACGACAAGAGAGACCAATCTAGGCCAGCTAATTCTCAATTTAAAGCGATAAATGCTGATACACACCCTTAAAAGTAGTGTCTGTTGGGCCAAAAATGCAGGTTTGTTTCATTGATTCTATTAATTCCATTTATTTCATTTATTCCCCAAATGCCTCATGTTGGGTCACCTGCAACATTTTGCAGATGAGGTGGTTCAATGCACCATCACAAGACAGGTGGGAAGAGGAAAAACTGGCACTGAGAATGGCAGAGGTGACTTTTGAGATGAATTGTGATGCTCAAAGAGGGAGGTGAGTCCAGAACAGAAGATCTCCAACAGCAAATATTGTAGAGCTGTTTTGGTATCAAAGTTTTTAGTGTTTAAAAGTGGCTGATAAGGGTGTATTAGGAAAAATCGTTGACAGATATGCTTAGAAGAAGGTCTGGCATCCCAACTGGACAGTGGCAAGCTTTGGATTTAGGAAGAAGCATGCTTCTCTCCTATCCTAAGCCAAGCCAAACTATTTGCTTTATTAAGTAAATCTGTATTTCATACCCATGTCATAAGCAATAATGATTTTAAACCATGCAGCTAGAAAAAAAAAAATATACCTGCATTATTTAGGGCTCTTTCGGGGGGGGGGGGGGGGGGGGGGGAATGAATAGTATAGAAACCTTTCTTTCTTCAAGGTTGAGGTGTTGGTCCTCCAGCAGCTTCATTAGGAACTATTTGCTGCTTAATGTTGGAGCAGGGACACCATAAGTTAGTCAGCAGTGATTTAGCAAGCGATAAGAGAAGGTTGCCCAAGACCTCCTGTCTGTTTTCCTTATCTCATTCCTGTAGCAGTAGATTTTGCTCTGAAGGCTGAAGCTAACCATAGCCTGAGCAAACATCATTTATTTCTCTGACACACTAAAAAAAATCTCATAAAAGCAAATAAGGGGGGTTGCTTCATGGCCTGGTTTGGACACACAAGGGATTTACAAGCTCCCTGGAGAGCATCTCTAATGGGGAAATTCTCCTGGTTGCATTCAGCTTCATATATAAAACCAACTAAGCTCAACAACTGGCATGTTTTCAGCCCAAATCAAGTGAAAAAGGGATGGCAACTTTGACACTTCTCCAAAGAGGGCAGAAAGGCCAGTAGTCTGTGCAAAGCTTTAGCTCGTACTTCCAGTCCTTGAAAAAGCTGCTAAGTATCCATGGAAAAATGGGCAGCTGCTCCCATCCTGGACAATGGCACAGCCTGAAGGATGGGCTCCATGATGTCCCATGACAAGACAAACTAAAAGGTGTTTATAGGATAACACAAGTTTTAAATTGCTAATGTGCAACTTCTAGCCAAAAACTGTCTGGAAATACGGAGGTATTGGGAATAAAGAGATAACTGCTGCAAGTTACCGGGAAAAATAAGCAGTAGTGATGTCCTGACTCCAGCTCCTTGGGATCACATGCCATGTCAGCCCCCAAAACTGCTGAGCCCAACTGTACGAAGGGCAGGACACAAATCAGGTTCATTTCCATGTGTTCTATGTCAACAAAACCTCAGAGGGAGCACGGAAAACTGCAGAATCAGAGCACTGAGCAGAGTGAAGGAGTCCTGTGTGAGTCAGAGGGAGGTTAGGCAGGTTACAAGTGATTTATTCACTTTTATTGTTATTATTATTTTAATAGCCAAAGCATAAATAAAAACATAGTGAAGTGCTTTGCTCTCTGCTGGTTAAAAATTATATGTAAAAGCAATCAGTGGTCCAAAGGCCTTTCCACACAGTGCATCAAAGCATAAATAAGCACAGAAACATCTCCAATTCTGCTGCATAAACACTGGGGCATACAGTCAAGTGTATTATTTTACTGGGTTTTTTTTTCATCGCTTCACTAGGAAGCCTTCTAAACAAACAAAAAAAAAAAACACAACAGTATTTAAAATGTGAATGTGACCAAAGAAATGATTGGCTATAAATGGCAGCGTGGGAAAAAAAAATATATATATTCTCTCATTTTCTAGAGAAAATATATAACAAAGGTTCCAAAAAGTTGAATGCAAATACTAAAACTTATGTAAAAATATATACACAATGCTCATGAAGACCTAACAGAGAGAGGGATCTGACCAGATGCCAAGGGATGCATTTGTTACCTTGCAGAAATGCTCTCAGATGGCCAAAGAGTTTGGAGCAGCCTTGCCCAGTCACTGCAGGCAAAGCTGGTAAGAAATGAGCATTAATCATCTGCTTCTGTTCCATCCTGTTTGGCATCTGCTTGCATCCTGCCATGAAGCCTAAGCTCCTGTAAGACTTCTAAAGCTTCCTGAAAGTCTAGAGAAGCCAGTCAGTAGCATTGCATCAGTCTGGTCCCTTCTGCCCCATCTCTGCAGCACCACAGACCATCCCTGCCACCCTCTGCTCCTAAGGGGGCCTCAGGGTTCACCTTTTCTTTATCCAGAATAATTCCCAGGTGATTCCCATTGCCAAGCTTTGATTTTCTACACCAGCTGCTGGGTGTCAGTAGACTTTTGGTTGCTGATTAGTTATTATTTTGTTCTAGGCTAAATGTTCTGTCCATTTCTGAGGGTGATGGGGAATACGTTATATGTGTGTGTGTGTATGTATGTATGTATGCAAGCATGCATGCATGTATGTATGCGTATGTGTGTATTTTATCCCCACCTTTTTCCAGAGAGGAGTGAGAAAATAAATAAAAAAATATATATTGTCTTTCTCAATGAAGAAAAGCTTTAGCATCACGCTGGTTTAGAGCAGGGCTTGAAACTAGCTCTGAAATTGACTTTTCTGCACTGTTCATACTTCTGAATATCAGTCAAAATTAGGGGAAAAAATTAAGTCAGCACAGTAACAGTACAGTAACACAGAAAAAAAACTGCTGGACTTCCAGGGAAAAAAATTAAAAGGACGCTGGCAGGCTGGAGAGAGGATGGGCAGGGAACAGAGCAGCTTCCAGTGCTTAAAGGGCTGACAAGAAAGTGGCTTTCGACAAGGGCCTGTAGAGACAGGACAAGAGGGAATGGCTTTAAAGTGACAGAGGGGAGACTGAGATGAGATCTTAGGAAGCTCTTCCCTGTGAGTGTGGTGAGGCCCTGGCACAGGTTGCCCAGAGAAGCTGCGGCTGCCCCACCTCTGGCAATGTTCAGGGCCAGCGTGGATGGGGCTTGGAGCAACCTGGTCTAGTGGAAGGTGTCCCTGCCTGTGGTAGCTGACTGGGACTGGATGAGCTTTAAGGTCCCTTCCAACCCAAACCACTCTATGGCTCTATACAAACTAAGCACAGCACGACTCAATCTCAGCGCGCTACCCGCAAGCGGGGCGGGCCCTGGGCCGGATGTCGTCACGCCGGGGGCGGGCCGGGCAGGGGTGACTCAGCCGCTGTAAACTGCCCCTTCCGCGGCCGCCGGGAGTGCGGGGTCGGTCGGGAGCTGCGGAGCGGTGAGTGCGAAGGGGGCGGGCCGCGACGGACGTAAGGGACGCGGTGCGGTGAGGGCACAGCAGCGGGGCAGAGGCAGGGCAGGTGAGGTGATGGGATGGGATGGTGATGGGTGCTGCGTGGCACGGCTGGGGCAGGGGGACACGGGTGGGTGCGTTGGGATGGGGCACCCCTTGCGCTGCCGCCGCGGGGAGCAGCGGGGGACCCAGCCCTGGGCCCGCCGGGTGCTGCGGAACACTCATTGAGCAGCAGCGGTGTCTTCCAGCTGCGTTTGGGGGTATTCTGGGCGGTGGTGGATGCAGGAAGGATGCTCTGCGGCTCAGAGGTGAGGTTTGTTGCAGGGAAAGTGCTATTAACCCGCAGTGCGTCTCAAAGGCAACTATACCTTCCCTCCCTACCTCCCACGGAAGGAGAGAGGAAGCCGTGTTTATATAATGCAGATGGGAAGGAAAACAAACCAGCTCTGCTTGTCTGCTGAAGGAGGTCGGTTTGGCATCAGCTGCAGTGCTTGTGGGAAGATCCCGTGATGCGCGGCCGAGCTGGGGTCTGGCATCAGGACCATGGCTTGGAGATGGCGCCGAGTAAAAGCTGCCTTGATCTGCCTGGCACGCAGCCTGGCTGCCATCCGTATATAGCTGTCACCCATATACCGCACCAGCGGGTCTGCGCTGCGGGCGTGATGCAGCAAAGATCGCTTCCTTTCACCCGTTTACCTAGAGGTTGCAAAGTTGAAGGTTACAGAAGAGGGCAAGGAATTTCAGTAGAGCAGGGTGTCTGCTGGGGGCTTGTGCAAGACTCTGGTTTGTGGAGTGGTCTGTGAGAAGAGGGGAAAAAAAATCAGTGCAGCTCCACCGGAGAGGAATCTTGCACTGTGTGTGAATGGAAGCTGTAGAGGCAAGCACTGCAGGTTGTCTCAAGATGTATTTATTTTGCCAGATATCAGACTTCTGGTAAAGATTTAGCTTTCCTGGGAAGGAATGGGTGTGGGGAAGAGAGGATTGGGTGTGGGGAAGAGTTCCTCATGCTTTTTTATTTAATTATTTTTAAGAAAAATATTCAAGCTTCGATAATTCAGTAATAACTGTAATGTAGTCACCAGGCCATGAGTTTGGTGCTCCCAGACTGAGCAAGCTAAGCTGGACTGCACTGTTTATATACTTGCTTTATTGTGGCTTAGGGTCATGCACAATCGTGGGCAGCTAGAACAAAGGACAAAGCTCAGCCTGGGTGAGGAGGACACATGACTTGGGTTTTGCTGAGCACCTTCACCTTGGAGGGGTGGGGGTGTTGTAACTGTGGTCATGGGACAGCTCTTATCTTCCCCTGACCCTTACAAAAGGGTATGTGGATGCCTCTGTCTGTGCCTGGAGGGGTTTAGCCCAGACAGTGGAGGAGCTGAGAAGTGCTTCAGGGCTGTTATCTCTTGGCCTGACCTGCCTGAACAGAATCAGGTGAGCTGGGCTTTCAATAGCCTGGTTTGGGTTTTTTGGGTGGTTGTTTATTTCTTGACTATGCTCAGTTAAATGGGACTTGGGGGTTTGGAGTTCTGGGTGATATCCTGCAACCTTTGTGGTGGGAATCTGCAGCAATAAACTGCAGAGGGATTTCTTATAGCAGGCACTGCTCATCTCCCCTGGCTGCTAGGCGGAGGCTGTGGTACCCTACTGATAACATGGTCCATACAGCTGGATCTCTATCCCTGGGAAAGCAGGTGGGAGCAGTCTCCAGCTCTGAGATCTGCTGCTCAGGATGGATGGAGAGGACACGTGGGTGATGTCAGCTCCTTCCCTGTGCCCTGTCTATTTGCAGTTGCAAGTAGCATAGCAGGGCTGTGATGCAGCACCAGCTGCAGCATCTCGCTTCTCAGGCTCCTCTCCCTCACACACTGCAGCCACCCCGACCAGCTTATGCTGGAAAGCCTTCAGCCTCTGTGCTTCCTCCTCAGTGGCTCGCACAGGGGTGTCTCAAGGGCTGCTCTCAGGTGGCCCAAATCTCCCCTTTTTAAGCAGTGTCTGAAGTGCAAGGGCGCTGATCAGGGTGTGGTGTGCTGGTGGGCAGAGCTTCCAGCAGTTATTTCCTGCTGCATCTTTCAAGAAACTGAAGGCAATTTGAGTCCCAAATCCCAGGTATTTTGGGTCCCAAAGCAGAGGTTTTGTTCTCGGCTCCAAGGTCTGCAACCCCAGAGGAGATGGGGGAGCCTGGGGAGGCTGTTGGCAAGCCTCAAACATCCTCCTCCCACCTGGAGAGTTTGGGGCGAACCTGCTGTGTCTTAAGACATCCAACAGCCAAGCTTTGCTTCTGTTTTCAAGCTATGGTGGAATGTGACCTGTGGAGACAGCTTGAACAGGGTTATCCTTACGCTGCAAGGCACCTGCAAGAGACTGGGGGGTGCAAAGGGAAGGAGGTTGCTGGAGAAGCTCCCCTGGCCTGTTCAGTGCTCAGGCTTAAGAGCAAATTTCTTTTTGCGAGCCTGGTTTTGGCGCTGCTCTCGTGTTGATATCTGAAACATCTGTGGGGAGGGAGGTGTGTGTGGAGGAGATAGCGGCGGCAAGGGAAGTACCCAGGCAGTAACGCTGCCGCGGGAAGTGTGTCACCGCTCGTATCTGCGGGAAGGGGTGGTTGGTGGGGCGGGCAGCAGCTCTCCTTGCTGTGTTGCTGCCGGGGCTGGTGACTTGCGGCTGGAGGAAGCTCGTCCTGCGGGTCCCGTGCCTGTGTGCTCCGTATTTATAGCTCTGCTGTACACAGGGCGCTTCTAAAGCGGGGGGCGGGGAGAAAGAATCACGAGATCGAGGATTTCCCTTTCGCTCTCCAAGCAGAGCTTGGGATATTCCGTGCCATCCAGCTGTGTCAGCTCCCTCCGAGGCCTCACAGCCATAGGAGACTTCATGGGTTCATGGAATGGTTTGGGTTGGAAGGGACCTTAAAGCTCATCCAGTTCCAACCCCTGCCATGGGCAGGGACACCTTCCACCAGACCAGGTTGCTCCAAGCCCCTGTGTCCACCCTGGCCTTGAACACTGCCAGGGATGGGGCAGCCACAGCTTCTCTGGGCACCCTGTGCCAGGGACTCACCACCCTCACAGGGAGCAACTTCTGCCTAAGATCTCATGTCAACCTCCCCTCTGTCAGGTTAAAGCCATTCCCCCTTGTCCTGTCCCTACAGGCCCTTGCCAAAAGCCCCTCTCCAGCTTTCTTGTCAGCTCTTTATGCACTGGAAGCTGCTCTAAGGTCTCCCCTTAAGGAGCCTTCTCTTCTCCAGGCTCAGCTCTCTCATGGCCCATAGGGAGGCTTCATGCCAGCAGGAGGTTTGGCAAGAGCCTTGTTTGCTGAAACAACCGAGTGGCTCCCAGCTATTCAGGTTGCACTGGGCTGTGTCACCGTGCTGCTGCTGGGTGCGCTGGCCACCGGCCATGCCGTGGGGCGGCTGCAGTGCAGCAGAGCCTGGAAGGCAATAGCTGTCCAAGGAGAAGCTGCTCTGGTATCACTTTCAGTCCAGTTTCGGGTGTCTGGAGCTCCAAGTCTGTGGCTGTGTGGCCCAGTAACCTGAGGATGTGAGATATCCCTTGTGCACCCATCAGGAGCTGTATTGATGTGGGAGGCTTTGCAGGGCGGGTTTGAGCATGCCAGGAAATTTACAAGCACCCTATTGAAAACACAAGTGTATTAGGTGGCTTCTGGCTTCGAAAACACTTCCCTTCTGTGCTACAGACAGTATAGAGTTGACTGCAGGAAGTGCAGCGGGTTTTGGGTTTGATTTGTTTTGGGTTTGTGCTGGGTTTTTGTTTTGTTTCCAAGGATTTTCCATTAGAAAAGGTGCTTCAGATGAGGTTGCTCACCTGTGGGCTTCCCATGGCCATGTTGAAGGCCACAAGGCAAACCCCACAGTAGCCTTAGGGATGAATATATATTTGTTTCTCTGACCGTAACCTCTTTCCTCCTGCATAAGCATGGTGAGGACACCAGCGAGACCCTTGTGTGTGAGAAACCTCTTAGCAAGGAAATAGAAACCCCTTCCAAGAGGTGAGATTGAGGGGCAGGAGAACCCATGTGCTGCTGAAACTCAGCCAGCATTTGGGCTGAGCATCCTGCTGGAAGCACAGAGTGGGGATAAAACCCAACAAATGGTGGAAGGAGGAGGGAGGGGGAGAGAAAGCAAGCCCCTTTATACAGTTAGCTGCAGTCGCCTGGGCTTGTCGCTGGCAGAAAGTAGGGCACTCCTGCTGGGTTCTCTTCTCTGGGAAGGCTAAACTTGGCTGTGAGTAGGTGGTGGCAGCCTGCATAGAAAATACTTGTGCATCTCCCCATCCCTGCCAGCTCTGTGGCCACAGGACTGGAGTGCTACTGCCAAGAGCTGCATGTCCGGCTGCTCCGGTGTATTTGCCCAGGAGGGCTTAAACCCAGGCCTGTAAAGGTGATCACATGTTGAGCTCCCTGAGATGAGTAGGAATTAAAGCTTAAATATCCCTGCTGCTCAGGCTACTGTGGAGGGTCAGAGGCATTGGGTTGGAGCTCATTGGGGTGGATGTGGGGTTGGTGGAAGGGGAGCTGCGAGGTTCTGGAGCAGGGTGCCCTGGTGTGTTTGCAGGGATTCAGCAGCTCATGGCCAGAGTGTGTGTCCAAGTCAGGTGGGGATGTGGAATGAGTGGTGGTTGCTGGTGTTGGGGCTGTAAGGGAGAAGCTCCTGTGTGAACCCTGCTTACTTCAGCTGAATAACTGATATCTCTCAATAGGGGGTTAAATTGGAGTTGCACAATTTAATGTGAGTTAGGTTAAAGGAGGCAGGAGAGCAGAGAATCCACCAGACCCTGGAGCATCTTTGTACTGGGTGGTCCCTGTGGTTCGGAGTGGGAGGTTGTGTTCCACTGCTGCTGTGCTCCTGGATTTCCCCTGCATCTCTGTTCCCCAAATCAGAGACTTTCCTGGTGCCTTTTGCCAAGGGAAGCAGCTTCACAGCCTCCCTTACAAAAAAACCCAGTGGGAGGGGAGCACAGGCAGCTCTGTTGCTTGCGGACATGGGCAGGTGGTCACTACCCCAGGGCTGTAACCCCCATCAGGGTCCCCAGGGCAATGGGCTGGCCAGTGTGAGGCCATAGAGTCCAAAAATGTGATTTGGAGTGATATCCTCAAAGGAAAGAAGGGCAGGCACTAGGGCAGGGGCTAGCAAATCCCTGAGGCTGCAGTTTGTGGGGGTGGGGTATCACTTATTCCTTCTAGTCCTTATTCTCCATTTTTGTGGAAGTAAACACAGCCTGTAATACCCTCCAAATCCCTTGGGTCTGCTTCAAAAGATATTTTCCTGCTGCTCCTAATCCTGCAGTGGTCAACAAACAGGGTTGCCTTGCCTGATTTCTTATGAGCTGCAGGAGGGGGGTGATTACTCTGCTCCTGCGTCTCTCCTGACCTTTGGGGTAAACCGGGATCGGGAGGGACTTTATGCAGCCACGTGTTTTATCCTGCCACGTGGTGCTGCGATGGTGCTTCTGCCAAGCCTTGGGTCCGAGCCCACCTTGGGAAGGTTTCCAGTGATGTCCAAATCTGGCTGCAGGTGGAGTGTCTCAGTCTGTAGCCAAGATGTGGCTGTCCGTGTCCATCCTGTGTGTCCTGGTCGCCTTCACCAATGCTCGCAGCATTCCTCACTACCTGCCTCTCTCCAGCGACTTGGTCAACCACATAAACAAGCTCAACACCACCTGGAAGGTGAGTACTGGCTTGGTGAGTACTTTTGGATGCATTGCTCAGCAGTCCCTTTGTGGGACCCGACAGCTGAGCTTTGGGAGTCTCATCGTGATGGTTGCTTCATAGCAGCTTGGTCCCAGTTGCCTTCTCTAGTGAGTTGATGCTGTCAGGGATTCCCATGGTGACAGTAACTGTGGGTCTTCTCCTCTGTGGAGCAGAGCACTGATGGATCTGTAGAGTAGGAGCAATGATAAGAGGAGGAAGGCTGGAAACAAGCAGCAAGTACTGGTGACCTGGCCAAACCCAGGTTGCAGTGGCTGAAGGCCAGGGCTGGACCTTAGCTTGCTGGTCATGATGCACTGATCAGGGAAGGGGCTGTGTTCTGTGTCTGGAGATAGCCTGGCTCTTAGCTTCTGGGCTGTTCAGCAAGTGTCAGACTGATTGGGTCTGAGGGAGACCCTGAGCACCAGGCTGGTCCCAGCACTGGTGGCTGTGAGGAGTTGTGTCCCATTTCTTTGTCTCTTCCAGGCAGGGCACAACTTCCACAACACTGACATGAGCTATGTGAAGAAGCTTTGTGGCACCTTCCTGGGTGGGCCCAAGCTCCCTGAGAGGTGAGTACTGGGAGAGGAAGATGAGCATCATGTAAAAGCTGGTGTGGATGCTCCTGGTGCATCTGGGATGCGCAAGGGTCTCCTGGGTGCAGCTTAGTGGGCATCATGCATGGAATTAAACACAGCAGCATGTGGAAGGGGATGGGAACATCCATCCTCTGTTCTGTTAGATACTTGACCAATCATACTCCTTGAAACTTAAAATACTGGAGGAGATGCTGACCTGGTCTGAGGACTTCAGAAGTATCTATGCTCCTTCACTAAGCAAACAAGAGCCCTTGTCCTCCAGGTCACCTTCGAGGAGGCTGGGGAGTCCTGTGCAACCGGTCCTGTTCCACTGGTGTTCCTGTAACAGCGCTTGTCTCTTCTCACTTCCAGGGTGGATTTTGCTGCAGACATGGAGCTGCCTGATACCTTTGACTCACGGACACAGTGGCCTAACTGCCCTACCATCAGTGAAATAAGAGACCAGGGGTCTTGTGGCTCTTGCTGGGTAAGTGCATGGGCAGTTTGAAGTCACATTGGTATAGAGTTTGCTGGACAAAAAGGATGCCATTCAGTTTGCTACCAAACTGCATAAATGGGGAGATGCTGGGGGCATCCTGCAGTATTTGAGCTTCTCGATGGGCTTATGCTAGCCAGGCTTGTGCTTGCTGCACTCATTCCCAGAAGGCTGCCTGGTTTCATTCCCACGTCCAGCTCTAATGGTCTTCCCTTGGGTTTCTGGGGGCTGCCCACAGGCTTTTGGCGCTGTAGAAGCGATTTCAGACAGGATCTGTGTTCACACGAACGCCAAGGTGAGCGTGGAGGTCTCGGCGGAGGACTTGCTGTCGTGCTGCGGCTTCGAGTGTGGCATGGGGTGAGCTGCTCTTGGTTCTTGTGCACTGAAAAGGTGGGTGGAAGGAGCAGGGGCACAACCTGGAGATGCTGATCATTTCAGCCCTGTCTTCCTGACAGGCTGGATGGGGCTTGGAGCAACCTGGTCTAGTGAAAGCTGTCCCTGCCTGTGGCAGGGGTTTGGAACTGGATGAACTTTAAGGTCCCTTCCAACCCAAACTATCCTGTGATTCCTGGTCTCCCGATGAGCAGGCAGCCTCACTAATAGTTTATGCTGTAGATACTGGAGTTAGGTCAGAACATAAAGGTGATTGCATGGACTGAAAGTCTGTCTGGTGCATATCCTTCCCCCCAGCAGCAGTGCATAATGATGGCTGGTGGTGGGAGGGCAAGCACATAACAGTGCTTTCCTATACAGAGTTGTCAGCTGCCTAATCCAAATGAAGGATCTTTTAATAGCCCCAAGTCTTGGTGTTCAGGCACAAGCCTTTTGCAGTTGTAGAGAGCAGAGTGGGGAGTTGGGTCTCCAAACTGTGTAGCCTCTGCTTGCTCCTGGCAGCAATGGCTGATCCAAGGATGTGCTAAGGGGGCACACTGCTTTGGGGTTTGGAGGCATGGGTGCTCTTAGCTGCTCCTTGTCCTAACGCTTTGGTGTGTTGAAGCCTGGAAACTCTGGGGAAGGCAGGGACTCAACGTGCTGAAAGCTTCCCTTCAGCCGCCTCAATTTTCCACCTCAAAATCAGTGGCTCAATTTACCCCAAAGGGGATGTCTCTGAGCAGGCTGGAGCTGGAACTACTGCTCTTTCTCCAGGTGCAATGGTGGTTACCCTGCTGGCGCGTGGAGGTACTGGACAGAAAGGGGCCTGGTGTCTGGAGGTCTCTACAATTCTCATGTGGGTAAGTCCTGGCAGATACCCTTGTGACAGCAAAGAGGAGCACCTCTGCTTGGTGTTCTGTTACAGGTTCATGTCCTTCACAGTGCCTCTCTTCTGGTCTCTGTTGTTGTGGATGCTCCCTTCTTCAGGTCTGGGCTCAAATACCTCCGTTATCCCAGATGGCTGCTCCTTTCTCCATCTATGGCTCCTTCTGGTCACCCCTGGGACAAGGGTTTATGAGCAGCACCTAGTGGCAGGAGGGGCATCCGGGAAAGGAGCACAGTAGCCGGACTTAACAACCCTGCAAGGCTTCTGCTGCCACCCCTGACAATGTTCAAGGCCAGGCTGGATGGGGCTTGGAGCAATCTGCTCTCGTGAAAGGTGTTTCTGCTTATGGCAGGGGGTTGGAAGTGTATCTTAAGGTCCTTTCCAACCCAAATCAGTCTGTGATTCTATGACCCTATAGCCATGAGTTGGTTCATGTTCCCATCTTTTCCATTGCATTGTCAAGGGGGGAGGTGCTGGGAAGCAGGTCCAGAGGGAAACCCATTGCTAAGGCAGGGGTTGCCTGTCTGGCAGTGGCAGACCTACTCTTGCTCACACGCCAATGATATCTGTGGGATTTCTGGGTCAGAAAGGTCCTATCTTTTCATGGGTAATCCGGTGCCTTCTCCAGCATGGCTTTTGGACAGGGGTGCTCAGGGACAGCCAATTCATTGCTCTCTCTCCTCCACAGGCTGCCGTCCCTACTCCATCCCACCCTGTGAGCACCATGTCAATGGCTCCCGGCCACCCTGTACCGGGGAGGGAGGAGAAACCCCAAGGTGCAGCCGGCACTGCGAGCCTGGATACTCACCCTCGTACAAGGAGGACAAGCACTACGGTAAGGGGGGTGGCCTCCAGCACTGCTCGATGAATAGCAGCTCCAGAGCTGTTCTCAATGGGGCTGGCAGGGTTGGACCTCTTCCTAAGCTGGTTTATGGTGGTTATTCTCTGTGCCCTCAGTGATGGGCAGTCCTGCAGCAAACATAAGCCTGGCAGATGCACAGTTTGTATTTGCTGAGGCGCAACTGAGACAGGGGAACTGGTTTGTGTCCTTGTGGTGCACGTGCCTGGGTTGAAGATCATGGTGGGACTCTGGTATCAAAGCCACCTCCTTACTCTGTGGTGGTAGCAAATCCTATACATGTAATCTGGTTATGTAACCCTATACATAATCTGGTTGCTTCTTTGGGATTTGTCTTGGCTTTGAGTAATTTGGGTTGTTTTGGAAATGGGGAAGTACAAGGAGAAAACTTCCCACTGAAGCTGTCTGAAACAGGTCTTCAGGTCAAGAACAGGACTCAGGTTAAATCATTCCCTCTGGAAGAGGGATGGTTGGAGTGCACTGTTCCTGCGTTAGCCACTCCGTGGCTGTGTTAGTGCCTCTGGAGCAGTTGGGTTTGAATTCAGCCTTTAAGTGGAGAAGAGCTCTTGCAGGGCCATGCTGAGCAGTCTCTGTTCAGCCATGCCAAGATCTCTGCAGCCTGACAATGCCATACTAATGGTGGGACTTTCTTCCTCCCTAGGCATCACCTCCTATGGCGTCCCTCGCAGTGAGAAGGAAATAATGGCTGAAATCTACAAGAATGGCCCAGTGGAAGGAGCCTTTATTGTCTATGAAGACTTCCTGATGTACAAGTCTGGTGAGCATCAGCACTGGGGCTGTAGGGAGCCCTGTTCCCTACTACATCTATAGGGTCCATCCCTCTACTCACTTCTGAGAGGAGATCTCAAGCTTATAGTAGAGTATCTGGTGTTACAAGAATGTGGAAACAAGATACCATCTCCCTTATCCATTGGTTTATAGCAAGGGGAATAACTGGCTCAGGGAGGAAGCCCCAGTGGGGACCCCCCAGAATTGCACTAGGGTTTGGAACAACAGGGTTTTAGGGTAAAATCCTGACAGATGGCTCTCTTGATGTGGACTCCAGTTCCCTGTTATGAACTGCTTGGGATGTGCTGCCTTTGGGCCCCTTGCCCCTTGGCTCTGGGTGTCCTGTGCTGAGCTGATGCTGAGCATCAGTCCTTCCTTCAGACTCTACACTAAGCTCCAGGTTTGCTTTAACTTGGCAGAGGAGAAATTGAGATCTTAGGCAGAAGTTGTTCCCTGTGAGGGTGCTGAGGCCCTGGCACAGGTTGCCCAGAGGAGCTGTGGCTGCCCCATCCCGGGTAGTGTTCAAGGCCAGGCTGAATGGGACTTGGAGCAATCCGATCTAATGGGATGCATGCCTGGCTGTGGATGGTCTCTAAGGTCCCTTCCAGCCCAAACCATTCTGTGATGCCATGGTTTAACCAATCCCGCTTTCTTGGCCGGTCTGTGGGGTTTGCTGTCCAACATCTCACAAACTGTGGGCACTCTGAGGTGCAGCAGCACAGTGCCCATTGAGGTGTTGGTGTGTTTCCTTGCAGGGGTCTACCAGCACGTGTCTGGTGAGCAGGTTGGAGGCCACGCCATCCGGCTCCTGGGCTGGGGTGTGGATAACGGCACTCCTTACTGGCTGGCTGCTAACTCCTGGAACACCGACTGGGGCGATAACGGTGAGGCACCCTGGATGCTGCCCGGGGGAACCCCTTCCCTGTTCTTTGTGGTCCAATGGAGATGTTGACTTGGGCTGTTGGTTGCTTTCAGGCTTCTTCAAGATCCTCCGAGGAGAGGACCACTGCGGCATCGAGTCCGAGATTGTGGCCGGCGTCCCCAGGACAGAGCAGTACTGGAAGAGGATGTAACCTGATCAAACAACCCTGGGTCCCTGATGCTTTTAACTGATAGTGGTTTGGGTGCAGAGCCCCCCCTTCTAAGAGACTATAGTTGAGGTTACTTTATTAAAGCTTTTTATCTTTTTTTTTTTTTTAACTGTATGGTGGAGCTGGAGGTGGAACTGCTCTCCACCACCCCTCTGCTCCTGCTGGGCTGCAGCTATGGGACATTCCCTGCTCAAAGGACTGCTGAAGGGCTTGTTGGCCTCTTGTGCCATGATATTTGGTTAGCCTGGACCCCTTCCAGCCATATCTGTAGCTGGGAAGGTAGGAAGCAGTAGCTTTGTGCTGGGACTAGGGACTTGGTGGGGTGGTGGAAATGGACCCTGCTGGGAAGCCACAGCCAGGGGTGATTTGTACCCCCCCTGGCTGAGTTGTTCTGACTCTTGGTGCCCAAAATAAGCAGGGTATGTTAGCGTGTGCCTTGAACTGGTGAAACTTAGAGCTATTAATGATGATGTACTGATGAACTTGATATGGGGCTGGCTCTGGACGGAGCTGTGTTAAGGCCCCTTCCTGCCTGCAATAAGTCCTTTGTGCATTGCTTGCTCCATCCACTCGGCTGCTTTTTAAACCACTTGTTCCTCAGCTGTTTATCTGCTTTTTCTGCTGTAGTCTGGGGTTATTGGTCCTAAGGAAGGGCCTGGCTGGAGCTCCATGAGCCCTTGACCTAATATCCTGCAAGCATCTAGGAGCACGATGGAAGGAGCAAACCACTTCCTTGCAGCTTGATGTGTACAGCAGGGTCATGCCTCGGTAAGGTGCTGCATCCAACCCTGATGTGTTGCTTTGGGATGGCCTGTGATGAATGCTGAGCAGGGATGAGGGATGTTCCTCAGGTCTGCTGCAGGGAGCTCATGCAGATGCTTGGAGGATTCTTGCTAACTTGCACACAGTGGAAGCTTTTTTCTTTCCTTTTTGAGCCACAGGCATTAAGGAAGAAGAAAAAAATCCTTATTTTTATTACTGGGGGAGGTGTAATAGCTGTGTAGGAAGAATTGTGATTTGCTGACACTAATACAGTGAAAGAGAATTTCTTTTCATTTTAAAGCACAAAGTATATTGCTGAGGCTACATGTCTGAACACATGAAGCAGGCTCTCCCTTGCACTGTAAAATAGCCCCTTGCCTCTGCTGACTCACCAGTGAGACAGAGCTGTGGTGTATGTGATTGGAACAACTGTGCCAATAAATGATTTCTCCAGTGTCTTGTCTCATGGCTCTTGGTTGCTTCTGCTTGACCTTAAACCACCTCAGACTATACTCCTGTGCACTGTAGAAGCGATGTTGTCTTCATTCAAGTGAGGTCAGTGTCAGCCCTGTCTTCTGGCCATGCTGGTGACAGTACAGCTGCAGCTAGTGCCTGGGGCTTGTGCTGACTCCTGAACAGCCCTTGGGTATCATCTGCTCTTGGTGGTGGGCGAAGTGCTTCTGCCCCCAGCATCTCTGCACACTGGTACAGGGGCTGTGAGGACACACCAAGGCACTGCGGAGCAGGCCTGCAGCCCAGGCTGTGCCACTCCTGCTGTGGGCACTGCAAGGTCCAGTAAAAGTCACTTTACTGACCTTTAGCTGTCTTCCACTCTGGTTAAAATTACTCCTTTGGGTCTGGCAAATAAAGCTTTACTGTGATGCCCTAAGTAGCAAAATCTTAGAGCAGCTTCCAGTGCATAGAGGGGCCACAAAGAAATCTGGAGAATCCTGGACAGGACAAGGGGGAATGGCTTTAACCTGACAGAGGGGAGGTTGACATGAGATCTTAGGCAGAAGTTCTTCCCTGTGAGGGTGGTGAAGTCCTGGCACAGGGTCCCTAGCGAAGCTGTGGCTGCCCCAGCCCTGGCAATGTTCAAGGCCAGCTTGGACAGGGCTCAGAGCAACCTGGTCTAGGGGAAGGTGTCCCTGCCCGTGGCAGGGGGTGGAACTGGATGAGCTTTAAGGTCCCTTCCAACCCATCCTGTGACTCTCTGATTTGCATTTCATCTTAGCAGAGGGCTTGCAACTTGTGACATGGTGGGGAAGTACCAGTGTGAAATGACAGCTAAAAAAAGGACCAAATTCTTTTTTTTCCCAAAGAAAACTTTTAATCCCAACAAGATGGGAAGCTGCACAAAGAGAGCTACCGCAAGTTTCTTTTCAACAACAGCTTAAAACTATGTACATCAGTATTTGCGGAGTAGGGGTTCTCCTTCTGAGTAACAGTCTGGCCCCAGGGGCTTGGCCTTGCACAGGCACCAAACTGCTCTGTGGAAAGAGCTCTGTCCTGCACCAGGACGGGCTGTCCTTCCCTTCACAAAAGCAAAGCAGCATTTACAGGGGGTGGGTAGGGACCCTGGTAACAAAAATCCACCCCAGGAAAACACTTGCTATTAAAGTGCTGTTTCCTCTCAAAGGACATCCGGCCTGATGTGTTTCAGAACACAGCTTGCACATCAAACCCAAAGCATCACTCGAAGCCAGAGCCAAGCAGGCCAGGGAAATCCACCCTGGCCATCTCAGTGGCTCAAGCCTTCCGAGCCCACAGCAGGGAGTGCTGCTGCCTTTCAGGCTGGCCAGTGCATTAAGGCCCCCCAAAACACATCCCAGAAGGGCCAGCACAGTGCAAACCCTCACCCTCCTGCCTTGCACAGGCACCCAGCACTGCTGCTATGATGCTGCTCCTATCCCTTGGGCTGAAGAAGTGCTGCAGAGCCCAGAGCCTGCAGTGGAGCCAGGCATGGGGTTGTTAGCTTAGGACCAAACAGGCAGCTCCCTTCTCATTTTAACCACCTCCCCATGCTCAGACACGAAGCTTTGCAAGTGCAGGGTGCCATCTGCTAGAGGGCAGGGAAGCTGCAACATGTGGCTTCCAGCTGGAAGCACATTAAAGTGGACAGAGCACCCCTCCTCCTACGTATTTAACATTAAAAGGGCTTGTTTCAAGTCTAGCAGCCTCCTTCAGTACAAGAACAGAAATGTAAAGATTGCCTCTGTTTCCAGGCTGCAGGATGTCAACCAGCCTGGGCTGAGGGCCAGAAGGTGGCCATAGCTTTTTCCCTGGGTAAGGAAGCATGTTGCCCTCCTGGCTGAAGGAGCACCCTTCCAGTGTGGAGCAGGCACCAGGGGCAACAGGGAAGAGGCTGCTTAAGAAAGGGAGGCAAAATCCAAGTGGTTTTCCTCAGCTCTGAGCTGGAAAGGCGTCTCGCATCTCAAGCAAAAGGGAAGAGGCAACTGGATTTTCTATTTAAAACCATCCTAACCAAAAAGAAAAAGATTCAAGGAAACCATCCAACAGGAAAGAAGGGAAAAAATCTTCAACCCCAAACAGCAGGACTCTGATTAGTGCTTGTAACCATCCAAGCAGACAGCAAGGGCGGTGAGGAGCAGAGCCTGGCAATGCTGCACCACTGCCCTGGGCTACAGCTCACCGGTGTCCTGTCCTTATCACCATACAGGCCCCATGGCACCCCGATGCCTGGCCATCCCCACCAGCAGGGGATGAGGAGCCTCCTACCTCTGCTGCCCATGTCCGACCATCTCTTCCCCCCGCCCGCCTTTGCCCATCAGTTCTCTCCCGCCTGGACATAGTCCTCGGTGGCCTTGGAGATGGTGCTGAGGTACTGCCAGCTCAGTGCAGCCAGGAGCATGGCGCACGACAGGTAGATGGGGGAATAGTGGTGGCGTGAGGCCATGGGGCCGTTGGGTAAGCTCATGGCGCGGATGGAGGCAATGATCTGCTGAGTCTTGTTGGATGATGGGTCTGTGCTTGGGATCTTCTGGTAGATCTGAGGAGGAGGGAGGAAGGAAGAGTTATGGCTCCCACCCGAGGTTCAAAAGGCAAATGGGACCACTGGGTGGAAGGGCAAATGTTAAGGGCTACCATGTACTCAAGAACAACCTCAGCAGTGGATTGTCACAGAGCAAGGACCAGCTGCAAGGGATGCCTGGATAGGGCCAAGATCCATTTCCCTTGAGAAGTGCACTAAGCCAAGCAGCCTCTTGAGGGCACCCCATGACGGGAGATGAACCACGCCAGACATAATCTCACAATCACGAGCAGTGTTGTTGGAACCAGGGGTTCTTGCCCCGCAATCCTCACTGCAGTGAAATACTTGTCTGCATAGGGCATAGGGAGGTGTGAATGAGCAGAGACCCTCTTTTTGGCTAAGGTGCCGAGGTGTCCCTTGCCATGAGGGTGGCCAGCCCACAAAGGGATCTCTAGTAACCCGTTTTGGGGTCTCCCTGGTGCAGAAGCAATGTCTTTTTATTTAACACCCCTTGCTGGATTTGTTTTTGAGTTGCTGTTTTATATTCCCATGAAAACAACCACCAGTTGTGAACTTTTAACCTCCACAGTACCCTCAAGCTAGGAGTCCCACTGCTTTAAGCAACTGTAAAGAGCTGTCCTTATTTACTGTTGGCTGTGGAGCACAACCACCACATCATCCTGTCAGCTGCAAGTACAGACACCAAGAAAACAAGAGGGTTCACTTGTTTTCAAGCAGCCCATATGGATGTGATGCAACCTGTTCAGAAGTGTGTTCTGGGAAAGGTCCTCTGTGCCTATTCAGCCCAGGTGCTGTCAGATCTGACTACTCTGGTTCTCCATCAGGAAGGCAGGACTTCAGTCTCTGCCTCTCAGACCAAGCACCCAGTTTGGTCCAGGCCAAAACCACTTGAAGGTCACTGTTCCCTGCCACCACTGAACTACGAGATGTAAGGAGAGGATTAACAGATTCATGTGTCTTCCCAGTTTCACACCAGAAATGAAGATGGGAACAGCCAGCAATTTCTCAAACTGCTCAACCTACCTCTTCCACGTACTGGTACATGATGGCTTTGACAGCTTGTATGTTTGTGGCATCCATCATGAGAGTGACGGCTTGTCCCTTTCGTATCTTCACTACACCCCTGAACACTTGCTTGTTGTTGTAGCAGGCAGCCAATGTGGCAATAGCCATCACCTGAGGAGAAACACAAAGAGCCCTTACCACATTGTGAGGAGCTTGCTAAGGGAGTAACCTCGGCTGTACTGAAATTGATGCTAAGACACCCTGGAGAGGAGCCACAATCTCACCAACAGCAGAAAGAGTAGGTACCAGGAAAGAAGGAAGAGAGAGAAGAGACAGAGAATAAAGCAGGCTAATACCAACATGATACATAACGTCCTTCACCTCCAACTTCTTATCAGCTGGGCTGCAGATGATGAAGAACCACTTGAAGACATAACTCACCTGGGGGATAGCGCAGAAGTTGAAGACAGTTTGGTTTTTCAGGCGGGATAAGTATGTGAGGACATCAGGGACGTGGTGGAGGGCGTTGGTGATGAGCTCATTCAGACACTGGACAGCCATATCGATGTTCTCTGGTTTGGCAAGATCCGAGAGCTTCTTTGCATATCTGCTCCAAACCTAAACACAGAGATAAGGATTCACAAGTTGGAGGGTACATTCATGCTGTAAGAGTGACATCAATAATACTCTGAGGTCTGGGAGACCAACACGAACCACCAGAGACTCACAAAAGCCTTGAAGGGCTTACTAAGCTCAAGAAAAGAAGGAAGATTGTGAAATTACAGGAACTGTTATTATCAAGATGTACAATCAATAGGAGCAATCTTATGCAGCACAGCTTTACTGTCAGATCTAATAAGATTAAAGCAGACCATCAAGTCTCTCCTGTTAACTTTGACCTAAACAGACTTGAGAGACAATACAATTTTAGCTGTCCACCTTCCACTGTGCACCCTATAATGGTTTCCTAAGATGGGTGTCCTGAGAAACATGGATGGTTGGCTCCATCCATCAGAGTTCTCCAACAGAAATGTGAAAGACTGACAAGGGACGCCAACTTCAGAGGAAAAAAAAAACCAGATTTGGGTATTTCAAAGGCAATTCCAGCGTGAATTCTTCTAACAAGAGGATGCAACTCACAGTATCAGAGTAGCAACAGCACTTTCAGTCTCAGTGTATTTCCCAAAGAGGCACAGCAGGAACCTCACCCTAAGACAGTGCTCTCCCTCACCTCTCTGGGCCAGAACTCCCTTCCCTCCATCTGGTCTTCCAGATAGTCCCGGATGATGTTGGTTTTCTGCAGGAAGAGGCCCATGGAGTTCGCCAGCTCTGTGTCCTGTCCAACAATAGCATCTTCTAGCTCTGATGCAGAGAAGAGACGGGAAAGGCCGATTCCCACCAGCCCAGCAACGTAGTGACAATACTGAGAGGCACCAAG